GTCGTGGGGCCTGAACTCTGGGCCTGGGCGCTGTCCTTCAGCTCTTCAGCTCAAGGCTAGTGCTCTACCACTTGAGCCACAGCACCACTTCCGGCTTTTTTAAATTTTTGCTTATGTGGTGCTGAGGAATTGAACCCAGGGCCTCAGGCATGCAAGGCAAGCGCTCTACCACTGAGCCACCTTCCCAGCCCCTCTTTCTTCAGTGTTTCAGAGTTTTCATTGTAGGGATTTTTCACTTCATTGGTTAGGATTACTTCTCTTTTAGTTTAATCTTTAGACTACTTTGACTACAATTGTATTCCCTATTTCTCAGGCTGTTTTATATTGGTATAGAAAAAGCTATTTTTGCTAAGTTTATATCCACTTACTTTGCTAGAAGTGTTAGCAGAACTATGAGTTTTCTGGTAGTGTCTTTCAAGTATATGAGTTTTTCAAGTATAGGATCATATCATCTGCCAAAAGACATTGTTTGAGGTCTTCCTTTTCTATTTGTCTTCCTTTTCTTTTTCTTGTATTATTGTTCTGGCTAAGTATTTTAGTATTCTTTAAATAAGAGTGGAGAGAGTGAACACATTGTCTTGTTCTTGTTTTTAGAAAGAAACTTATAGTCTTTCTGTACTTAGTATAAATAATGTTGTCTATATATAGTCTTTCTTATGTTAAGGTATGATCCTTACATTCCTAAATTTTTCAAAGCTTTTGTCATGAATGAATATACAATTTTATGAAAAGTTTTGCTTTCATATATTGAGAAAATCATGTAAATTTTTATTCCTGATTATATTTATTGCTTTCATTGACTGCATGTATTCAACCATCCTCGCATGCCTGGAATGAGAAGAACTTGATTTTTTAATGTGTTATTGAAGTCAGTTTGTAAGTATTTTATTGAATATGTTTGTATTTGTGTTCATCAGCAATATTGATTTAAAGTTTTTTCTCTTTTCCTTTTTTTTTTTTTTTTTTTGCTAGTAGTAGTGTTTTGAATTCAGAGCCTCAGGCTTACTTGACTTGCTTGCTAAACTGGTATTTACCACTTTAATTATGTCTTCAACCAATCTTTTTGCTGGTTATTTTGGGGATGGAGTCTTATGGATTTTTATGCCTGCACTGACTTCAAACTGCAGTTTTCTAGATCTCAGCTTCCTGTGTGGCTAGAATGACAGGCATGAGCTGCCAGTACTTGGCTATTTTTTTTTCTTTTTGTTATGTCCTTGTCCAGTTTGGTATCAAGATAATACTGGCTTCATTGAATAAAATTAGAAGTGCTTCTTAACCTTTCTATTTTGTGAAGCAGTTTGTGGCAGATTGGTGTTACTTCTCCTTTAAAGTTCTGAATCTATTTGGACCTGGACTTTTTTTCATTGGGCAATATTTTATTACTGCTTCAATTTCATTACTTTTTATAAGTCTGTTTGGATTGTTTATATTTTCTTGGTTTAATTTTGGTAGGTCATATCTGTCCAGAAATATATCCATTTCTTCTAAATTTTCCAGTTTTTTGGAATATAAGGTTCATTCTAATCATTCTCTGGATTTCAGTGATATCTATTATAACATCTCACTTTTCATCTCTAATTTTAATACCATTTTGCTACTGAGAAAAAACTAGACTCAGAATTGCTCTAACTTGACTGTAGTGGAAGTACTGGGCCCATAATTAAACCCTGGGTCTCAGGCATTAATATACTTGCTGCTGATGAGCTTTCACTGTCCTCAGTTGCTTCGACTGTGTTTTCTGGGTCTTTATTCAGAAAGTGTCAATTCCTTCCTGTAACATTTTCAGTGTATCTGCTTTTACCTAGAGGTCTTTGATCCATTTGGAATTGATTCTGGTGCAGGTGATATATAAGGATCTAACTTCAGTTTTCTACATGTGGTTAGCCAATTGTGCCAGCACCATTTGTTGAAGAAGCTGTCATTTTTCCATCCTGTTTTTTTTTGTTGTTGTTTTGTTTTTTGGCTCCCTTATCAAAGATTAGGTGGCCATAAGTCTGTGGGTTTGTTTCTTTCTGAGTCTTCAGTTCTATTCCATTGGTCCTCAGGCCTGTTCCTTGTGCCAGTACCAAGGTATTTTTATTACTACAGCTTTGTAGTAGAGTTTGAAGTTTTGTATTGATATTCCTCCATCACTATTCTTCCTGCTAAGGATTATTTTCACTATTCAGGGTCTTTTATATTCCATATGAATTTTTGGATTGCTTCTATTTCATTAAAGAATGAAGCTGAGATACTGATGGGTATTCCATTGAATTTGTTGATAGCCTTTGGCAGGTATTTCCATTTTTACAATGTTAATTCTCCCAATACAGGAGCATGGGAGGTTTTTCTACTTCTGTAGATAAACAAATCAAAGAAAGGTTGCTAAATGGGATTGCATTTAACTGCAGAGCTTCTGTATGGCAAAGGACATAGCAAGCAAGATAAATGGAAACCCACAGACTGGGTGAAGATCTTCATTAGCCATACAACAGACAAGGGCCTCATATCTAAAATATACTTAGAGCTTAAAAAAATAAATCCCCCGGGGCTGGGAAGGTGGCTCAGTGGTAGAGCGCTTGCCTTGCATGCCTGAGGCCCTGGGTTCGATTCCCCAGCACCACATAAGCAAAAAGAAAAAAAGCTGGAAGTGGCACTGTGGCTCAAGTGATAGAGCGCTAGCCTTGAGCTGAAGAGCTGAGGGACAGCGCCCAGGCCCAGAGTTCAGGCCCCACGACCAGACCCCAAAAAAAAAAAAAAAATCCCCTGGCTGGGAAGGTGGCTCAGTGGTAGAGCGCTTGTCTTGCACGCATGAGGCCCTGGGTTCGATTCCTCAATACCACATAAGCAGAAAAAGAAAGCCAAAAGTGGTGCTGTGGCTCAAGTGGTAGAGTGCTAGCCTTGAGCTGAAGAGCTGAGGGACAGCGCCCAGGCCCAGAGTTCAGGCCCCACGACTGGACAAAAAAAAAAAAAAATTAAATCCCCCAAAAACAAGTAGGCTAAAGACTTAAAGAGAGACATCTCTAAAGAGGAAATAAGAATGGCCAATAGATGCGAAGAAATGCTCAACATCTCTGGCCATAAAAGGAATGCAAATCAAAACAACACTGAGACTACACCTTACCCCAGAATGGCCATTGTCAGGAAATCTAATAACAACAGATGCTGGTGGGAATGTGGCCAAAGGGAATGCTACTATGTTATTGGTAAGACTGAAACTTGTTCTGATACTCTGGAAAGAAGTATGGAGGTTCCTCAAAAGACTAAACATAGAGCTCCCCTATGACCCAGCAAGGCCACACTAAAGCTACCAGCACAACCATGTTCGTTGCAGAATTATTTATTATAGCTAAGTATGGAACCAACCCAGATGCCCCTTAGTAGATTAATGGATCAAAAAGATGTGGTGTGTATACAGGTGAGTTCCATGCTTCTATCAGAAAGAATGACATTGTCTCATTCATCAGGAAATGGAAAGACTTGGAAAAAATTACATTATTACATTATAACTAGAATATGATATTCTTAATGAAGTTATTTTTTTCAGTTTTCATTTTCTGTACCCTTTGTCTTATATAAGTTTATCTGATAGGTGGAAGGGAAAGGGAATCACAGAAACATCAGGGAAAAGGATGATATAATTCAACAATGATACTCACTTGACACTATGTTGGAAATTAACCATACAACTTTGGGGAGGAGAGGGATGTAGGGATGAATAAGTGAGAAAAAATGAGGGAGGAGGTAACTGCTTAAAAAGAAATGTACTCATTACCTTACTTATGTAACTGTAACCCTTCTGTTTATCACCTTTACAATGAAGATAAACAGGGGCTGAGAAGGTGGCTCCAGTGGTAGAGTGCATGCCTTGCATGCATGAGGCCCTGGGTTCGATTCCCCAGCACCACATAAGCAAAAAGGAAAAAAAAGCCGGAAGTGGTGCTGTGGCTCAAGTGGTAGAGTGCTAGCCTTGAGCTGAAGAGCTGAGGGACAGTGCCCAGGCCCAGAGTTCAGGCCCCACGACCGGACCCAAAAAAAAAAACAATGAAGATAAACAAATATATTTTTTAAAGACCTTGTGTTTTATTCTCATAGTAATATTTTATTTGTTATTTTTCCAACATAATCTTTAGTAAATTATGATATAGTCTGTTACTAGATCAAATGATTGATTGATTTTACTTTGATGAGGCCCTGAAGAGTTTATATTTAGCTTTCGAGTTCTTAAGCTTGTAGTTTAACCAGAACGGTTTTATTCAGAGTGCAAGTAGTTCCTGAACAATGGGCTTCAGGCCCAATATACAAGACAGATTGGTTCCAGGACCTCTGTAGGTATCAGAATCCAGTGCAACTGTAGCCCCTTTGTAACATGGTGGAGTATTTGCATACAACCTTCACACATCCTCTTTTGGGGGGGGGGGATCCAGTCGTGGGGCCTGAACTCTGGGCCTGGGCGCTGTCCCACAGCTCTTCAGCTCAAGGCTAGCGCTCTACCACTTGAGCCACAGTGCCACTTCCGGCTTTTCTTATGTGGTGCTGAGGAATCGAACCCAGGGCCTCAGGCATGCAAGACAAGCGCTCTACCACTAAGCCACCTTCCCAGCCCCTCACAGATCCTCTTGAATACTTTAAATCTTCTTTAGATTACTTATTCTCCCTAACACAATATAAACAGTATATAAATAGCTGCCATGTTTTATTTTGCAATGGTAGATCAGAGATAGAGTATAGACAACAAAATTAGCTGTTGTTTCAACACAATAGTGTATTTCTTGTCTTTTGTTACAAGTCTCCCACTAACCAACTCCAGTTTCCTTGATAGTGGAGGTTCCTGGAAGAGCCTGAGACAGTGTGGTCTTACTGCAGATGGTTCTGGGAAGTAAGCTGCTGTCATCGTCCATTTGCTCTGGAAGAGCTAGTTTGGTCACCCCAAACTCTTGCCTCTAGTCTGCTCCTGAGCTGCCTGGCACAGATTCCTGTGGGTTAGACAAAGGTGTTCACCAGATATCCTCTGCTCACAGGTGGTCCCCATGCTTCCCAGGCTGCTATGTGAAGAGCTGTGTAGCCTGAACCCCATGACTGACAAGCTGACCTTCTCAGTGATCTGGACGCTGACCTCTAAGGGCAAGGTAACAATTTGCATACCAGCATTTTCTCAGGTTACTACCATCCCATTCTGTATGTTATAGTAAGCATCACTGTATGCCAGCCCTGGGCTGGAGTGCCATGTGGAAGAATATGGGAAGCCTGGGACAGAGCCACCAGGAAAGAAATGTAAGGCCCTGGCCTCTTAAAAGCCACCTGTTCCACTCAGGAGACAAAACTGACCCTATGTTTGGAGACAGTGGCTCCCCTCCCCCTTCCCCCCGTAGCCCACTGAAGGAGAAGGTGGAAGAAGCATGAGAGGGCAGGTGCAAGGGCAGGTGGTGGGTTGATCCAGTAGGGTAAGTGTCCTGAGAAGGCAGGAAGGAGAGAGAGAGCCAAACTGCAGTCACTAGAGAAGGGCCTGTGGGAGGAGAATACCTAGAAACCAGGATGTTTGTGTAGATAGGAGGCATCACACTTAGGAAAGTCTGAAATGGCAGGCACACATGGATTGAAGGTGTCATCTTAGAAATCAAGTACTGAAGGGTGTGCAGGATGGCTCCACCTCCCTGGTGAGTAAAACAGGGACTGGGGACATATGGACACTGGAGTGGAGAAGGTCAGCCTGCATTCCCTAGATAAAGGACAAAGAGGACAAAGATGGTGCAAGGAAAAACCAGTTCCCTCATCCCAAACAACTCTAAATAACCAGAAAAGGGTAGTGATTAAAGTAAACCATGGTACCTGCTCAGTTAACTGTTATGTAGTTACTAAAACTGATTACAAAGACCATGGAAGAACATGGGAAATATTTATGCTGTAATATTTAATGGTAGTAAAAAAGAGATATTTAATTATAAGAGGTTCCAAATAAAGATGGAGGATTGAATAACCACACTTACTTTCATTTTATCCCAAAACCTCACTAAAACAACAGTGAAGAGATTTTTTTTTTAAGACATAAACCCACAAGGACAAAGAGAGTGGGAGAGGAGACAACAGCAACAAAACTTTGGAAGCTGGGTAGCAGATGGATGAGTGGTAACTGACTTAGCAGTCCTGAGAAAGCTGAGTCCTCAGCCAGCCACAGAGGAAGCCAAGAAACAAAAAATTCAGGAACGGACAGCACCAGATAGTGCTTCTGCCTTCTCTGGAAGGCAGAGAGGGGTGGGTGAAAATGAGGCTGACATTATGTTAGTGAAAGTTTATCTTAAAAGATTGGCCCTGGCATAGCAGCATACCAGAGACGTGTTACCTAGACAAGACAAAGGAAGGGGTGTCTGAACTAGTGCACAGCACCTCACTTCTCACTTGGTGGTGTGGTTCCTCAGGGGCATTGAGTAAATGTTGGCATACTGGATGTTAGAGTCTCAACTCCAGAAATCTGCGAGCCAAGCCTATACCCTTTGAATCAAAAGATGGAAATATCTTTCTCTGAAGAATCTGAGTAGTGAAGAATACTTAATAACCTTAAGGATTGTCCGACCAAAAGCCAGCTCTGCTTCTCTACCAGTAAAACTTACAGACAATAAGCTCTTCCCACACATTCAGATCTTTTTAAAAATTTCATATACATGTACAAAGAGACTATGTTAGTGTCTAGGATGAAACAGGAAAACAAAGTAAGCTAATAGAAAAAGTCAACCCAGTACAAAACACACTCAACAGGGAAAGAAGCTTCCACTTATATTCTTTTAAAGTTATGTCCCAAGATCTAATTAAAAAACAAGTTGGAGGAGAAAAATGCTTTTAGAAAGGGGAAACAATACGAAAGAAATGAATAGAGATTCTGGTTGGAAGGTGAAGTTGAAAAACCATCCCAGGAAGAGGTAGAAAAGATAAGAAAATCTGAGAATCCTCCAAAATATCCAGTATCTGCATAGGCATTCCAGAAATAACAAAGAAAAGAAAGGGAAGCAGTGATAAAATAATTCTAAGGAGGTTTTTACGTGGCAGTTTATTGTCTGCATAGTGTTAGAGACTTATCATCTCCAAGATACAGCATGATAGAACTCCAGAACACTGGAGACAAGAAAAGAACCTACCTGTTTCTTTTTTTTTTTTTTGTCAGTCGTGGGGCTTGAACTCTGGGCCTGGGCACTGTCCCTCAGCTCTTCAGCTCAAGGCGAGCACTCTACCACTTGAGCTACAGCGCCACTTCTGGTTTTCTGGTGGTTTATTGGAGATAGGAGTCTCACAGTCTCTCCTGCCCGGGCTGGCTTTGAACCGCGATCCTCAGATCTCAGCCTCCTGAGTAGCTAGGATTACAGGCGTGAGCCACCAGCGCCCGGCTAGAACCTACCGGTTTCTGAGGAGGAGTGGGAAGTCACAAGAACTAGGTGAAGCAGAATAACTCCAGACTTTTCTACCACAACCTTAAAAGCCGAATGACAACGATGATGGATATGAGCTCCAAAAAATTCTTTACCCAATGAAGCTGTCAATAAACTGAGGATATTTTTAGACATGCAGATCTTGTAAATAAAGTGCCTCTTCCACACTCATTCTCAGGAAGCTGTTCGAGGATGGGCTTTACCAAATAAAGAAGCAAATCAAGAAAGAAGGAGCCACATATAGTGGCATGTTTTTCATCCCAGCACTTAGGAGGCTAAGGCAGGAGGATGGTAGAGTTTGGGTCCAATCTCTTTGGCAGCAAAGTAGGATGCAGTCTCAGAAAGAAAGGATTGAGAGGGAAAGAGGGATCTAGGAAACACATAAATCAGCAAAGAGAAGAAAAGAAAGAGTTAGCACACTTTCTGTCAAGGGCCAGAGAGTAAATATTTCCACAGCCACAGTCTTGGTGACAGCTACTAAAGTCTCCCTTTACAGCCAAAAAGCAGAGGGTATATAAACAAAGCAACATGGCTGTATGCCAGTAAAACTTTATTTAAAAACAAGTGAAAAGTTGGATTTGGCCCTCAGTTTGCTGACAGCTGCCCTGAATGATGGGGATGGCAGCTCTGTGCAGCCTCACAGAGCAGCAGGCCCCACAGGAGTGGGTCAGTAGGCTCTAAGAAAGAAGTTTGAGAAAATGAAATAGTTAAAATATTTGTGTTTGAATTTCTTGGGAGATGATTTATACCAACAGGTAACAAACACTTTTATCTCAGGACCCATTACAGAAAAAAACTTAGTGAGGACCTCAAAGATTTGTTGTTGTTGTTGTTGTTTATGTAGATTATCACTGTTTACCCTATTGGAAATTAAGTGATAAAAATTTCAAATGTCTATCTCAATTAAGAAACTGAAAATCCATTATGGCTTAATATAAATAACATTTTATGAAACATTAGTACATTTTCCACAACAAAAAAATGAGACAAACTTTGGGTGTTTAGTCTGTCTGTCTATCTGTCTGTCTGTCTGTCTGTGCTAGTTCCCGAGCTTGAACTCAGGGCCTAAACACAGTTCCTAAGCTTTTTTGCTCAAGGCTAGCACTCTGTCTCTTGAGCCATAGCTTTACTTCTTGGCTTTTTGCTGGTTAATTAAAGATAAGAGTCTCTTGGATGGCCTTATGTTGGGCTGCAATTCTCAGATCTTGGCCTCCTGAGTAGATAGGATTACAGGCATGAGCCAGTGTTCCTGACTCCAGCTTGTTTTATATTTTCACAAATCTTTTGAATGTTATTCTTAGAGAAAACAGTAAGCTAAATTTTCATGCATGCTTCTGTATCAGGCTGTTGGAATAAGTTGTTTTGTTGAGATATATGAAGGAAATTCAACTTTAGATGGTTGAAAAAATGGAGCATTTTAGGCCAGGTACACTAAGACACATCTGTAATACCAGTTACTCAGAGGGGAGGATTATGGTATGAGGCCAGCCCCAAGAAAAAGTTAAGGAAATCCAGTCACAATAAGTCAACCATACATGGTGGTTCACACCTGAAATTCGAGCTATACCAAAGACTGTAGGTAGGAGGATCATAGTCTGAGACTAACCTGTGTTAAAAATAAGAAATCCTAAATGAAAAAGAGCTAAAGCGGAACAGAAGAGCTAGGGGCATGACTGAAGGGGTAGAGCTCTTGTCTAGCAAGCCTGGGTCTATCTGAGTTCAACCCCCAGTACTGCCAAAGAGAAGAGGAAAATGTTAATAACTTTTTCAGAAAAATGTAGTAGAATTCAAATTCAAATGTAGTAGAATTCAAAAAATGTAGAAAAATTCAACAACAACAACAAAAATGCTTAAAGTTATTTGCAGTCTAGAACTTGAAACTGTATCTATTATGTACTGAATTGGTATCCTCCCCAAGTTCCTGTAGTAACCCCAAGTATGCTATATTTAGAGTGAGCCTACAGGAGATAATTAAGAATGCAGGAAGTCATAGAGTGGGGCACTGATAAAATAAGATTAGCATTCATAAAAGTTAAGACTACAGGAGTTTACTTTTTCTTCCTCCACCAAGTGAAAACACAACCTGATGGCAGCTTTCTGTCTGTAACATGAAGAAAGCCCTCGCTGAGAACTAAATTGGTTGGTCCCTTGATCTTGAACTTCTGGCCTCCAGAATGGTGTGAAAACATTTTTTTGTTGTTTAAGCCACTCAGTCTGATATTTTGTTCTGTAGCCCTAGCAGATTAGCATTGTTACCAATTGAACTTTACTAAGTTATATAAAAATCCATTGATGTCTGTTATACTGTGAATAGATCGTTTACCCAGTCACAATTTAGACATAAATCATTTAAAAAGTATTGACCTATTTTGCTGATCATCTATCAAAATGTACACGTTTCATTACATAATAAAAAAAGTCATGTTTGTTGCCATTCTTACCAGCCAACACTTAGTATTAGGAAACTATTAAGTATTAGTACTAACCATTAAACTTCTTGTCAGATACAGTATTTCTACTGTTACAATCTTTGTAAAAAGCTTAGTGTTTGCAATTAGCAATAATCAATGCCCGTACTTTTCCTTAACATCCAGCAACCAATTCTAAAGAACTACAATTGTGTGTTAGTTGTTTCTTCAGTGAAAATGGTGTTCCATAGAAAGCCATGGGTTCAGCCTACTGCCCAAATGGTTATATATAGGTAACTCAAA